GACTGCTAATGTTTTACCGAAAATACCTCATTTGACAAGAGTTCAATCAGCTTTGTGCTAATGATTTAATACCGATTAGCACTAAATTCATTCGGATTCAAGTCACAATCTTTAAAAGACAAAACAATGAAATCTGTTTGACAGAATATGAAGAATCTTTCTGCGCTCATTACCAAGAAGAGATGGCGATATAAATAGGACTTAAAAACAAAAGAAACAGGTTTAAGTGTAAAAGTACAGCTGTTAATTTAAAATAAGCACTACCTAGTCGCGTCATACCAACGGTAAACCGTTTATAAATTGTAAGACAACACACGTTTCCTAATAACAGCGTTGCTCACTCGGGTGTCCCAGGATATACGGGCAATGCTTTGAAGACACCTATGATCGAAAACAAGTAACCTACGAATATCTTCTACTCTAACTGCACATGTTTTACAGCCATAAAGTAAGACGGAGCGAACTACTGCACAGTACACTCGTCCTTTAGTCAGCAAAAGGATATCTCGTCTACGCTATAAGCGACGCAGGTTGGTAAAAGCTAATCGAGCCTTCTGTATCCGTGCTAGGATCTCTTCAGTCACCAGGCCATCAGCAATGATGAGACTCCCCAGATAAGTGAAACGCTCTACACGCTCCACTGATTCACTCCCCATCACTAGTTCAGGTGCCGATGCAACCCAATCCTGAAGCAACATTTTGCATTTCGATAGGGAAAACCGCATCCTGAACATGCCTGCATTGTAGCTTAAGGTGATCAGAAGACTGCATTTTGTCAGCCTCTTCACCAAGTAGTATTATGTCATCGACATATCCTAAGTCAGCAAGCGATTTCCCTGGTAGAAGGTCGACTCCTGAACATTTAGACATAGATAAGGTTTTATGTAGGAGCATGTTTATAACAAAATTGAACAAGAATGGAGAGAGTGGACATCCCTGACTGACACCACTTGAAGTAAAGAATTACGGTGACAGTTCGCCATAAGCTCTCACTCGACCAATGGTGTCGGAGTAGAGAGCCTGTATAAGGTTAATGTACTTCTTTGGTACAGCTTTTAATGACAGGCACTGCCATAGAACCTCACAATCCACTGAGTCAAATGCCACCTTAAGGTCCAGGAAGACAACTATTGTAGGACGACTAAATCTGTGTCTGTGTTTCAGGACCTGTCGTATTATAAAAATGTGGTCTATGCAGCCACGTCCAGGTCTGAAACCAGCCTGGTTTTCTCTAGTCTGCTCTTCACGAGCTCTAGTTAGGCGTCCAAGAATGGTCGAGGCTAACAATTTAGAAACTATATTAGCTACACTGATTCACAATAAGACTTTTGTCCTTTCTAATAAATGGGGACAATCTAATGGATAACAGTAAATGCAGGATAATGTATACACCCAGAATCTACTGCTTGTTCTGGTTGGTTACAAACTAACAGAAACCTACGCTCAATCCTATTAATTAACAAAGAATTTTAGAAACTTTCTATGAATGGAATGTAAAATATTCATCTTTTCCTATTCAATATTTATTAACTAGGTGTACTTCTATTCCAATAATGATCTTCATCTGTCAGTCAGTCCGTTACAACGTAGAACTTCGTACGTACGTATATTAGTTAAAGTTGCCATACCACATTAGAAAATAGACGCAACTGTCAATTTAAGTCTCATAATAGCGTAGGTGGTGGAAGTGTTAGCAGTAATTGCAGCAATATGAGTTCGAAAATATTATTCAAGAAGTATAATTTAGTGAAATAAACTTAAAAAGAGAAGAACAAAGGTGATGGTGAATCCAGAAGATTAGGATATGAGGGAAGCCAAAGAATAAATGCACCTGCATTATTGCAAACGATTTTGATCCATGTCATCCAAAGTCTTTAAAACCATTGGTTATTATCAGATAGAGGACAACAACCCGGAAGTCTACACCTACCAACAGGAATCAGTCGACTTGTCAGTGACTACATGGATTTGTGCCATGTTTCAGTTTGGACATCCATTTATTTCTTCCAACCCACCCCTACATCATGAAACATAGCACGCCGAAGCAGTCGGTGGATGGGCAATCGTTACGTCATTTACTGACAGCAATCCTTACCCAGTACCTGTTTCCTAACAACACAATTGCTTACCAACAGTCCCAGGATATGCGAGCGATACTTCGAGGACACATATGACCGAATACTAGTAGCCCGCGAATAACATTTATTCTTACTGGTCATGTTTCGCAACCACAGAGTATGGCGGAGCGCAGTAGATTCGTCCTTTGGTTAGCAGACGGATATCTCGTCTACGTCATTAATGACACAAGTTGGCGGAAGCCAATCGAGACTTCACTATCCGTGCTCAGATTGACTCAGTCACCAGACTGTCAGCACTGATGAGACTCCCGAGATCAAAATGAAATTCATACTGCGTCTCGAACTATACATATAGCTACAAGCGTGGACGAGCACTGGATTTCACTGCTATGTATCGTTGCAGGTCCTTTCAAAGTCTTCACATACTGGTTTTTCCGAAATAAAGGCCAAAAATATTGATCACACTCGGTTCTCCGTTTTAATATCAAAACAAGAGACAGCAGGTAGGGTTCTCCAATTGCCGTCAAGGCGTTACCATTTCAGAATTCTAGCCGTTATATTTCGTTTAAAACCCAACGTATTTTGTATGATAGTGTTGATGGAGAGATTCACTAACTTCTTTTTGATAATTTTAATATTCATGCTCCGATCACAGAAAACCGTTTACTACACAAAAGGCCGTCGATAAGTGAATACATAAAAAATCATACCCATTTAAAATACAGCCGATCAATACTATCGTCATTAATTTGCGTAAGAGACTATACAAGTTAGTGAATGTCTAACTCTTGTGGGAAAGGTAAACAGAAAACGCACAACTGAAGACGATTGATTAAATCAGATATAATCATGTTGCCTTGACGAAATCAACAAGATATCGATACAATCTTATTTCAATAAAAGCCAATTAACAATCATTAAATTGAGTAATCATATCTCACCATTGTTGACATGTAGACCCACACAAACAGGCCTCATGAACAAAGTCTGAATGCTTAGTTTAGAATTTTTGTTATCTTTCAAATAAAGATTTTATAACATATTTACTCCTGAAATAGTTTTCTCAATAAAGATCTCTGAAACTGTAAGGTACAGAGATTCTACAATAGACTTAAACTAAAATTGTGATCTGGTATAATGTTGGATTCACGTGAACGGTACCAGTCGATTTGATTTTGAAAAATGATCCCTTAAACTCAAACTTAATTGCAATGGTCAACTCTATTTACAGCAAAGCTGATTTGCTAAGGTTAAGCGACAACGTACTATCTACCGGAAATGCGACAGATTTATGACCAGAACATACCACTGTATGAGATAACTAGTTGTCATTGAAAACACAAGACGTCGGTTATATATCAACTATGAAGGAAACCCAGTTCTAGACTCATCCACGAATGAATTACTGACCATACGCTTTATCTAGGAAATAAGTGCACCCACTGAATACAGGACAATACCTAATAGCAAATGTTATCAAAATAATCCGGCCAAGATAATAAATATATTCGATCGTGCGTAATATTAGAATGAAACAAGGTAGAGCGAAAGTCTCTCGTCTACCTACAACCACAGAACTTGACTTGTCATGAAAACACACCTAAGAGCAATAACAATCAGGTGGAGTCGTAATTTATTTCAGACTTGCGGAACTGTTCATAATATCACGTCTTTGAAGACAAGTACATAATGGCGACACTACTTGTGTAAGCTTTTACTGCTATTTCCGTGACTTTTCACTGGTCCACAAGAACCAGAGGGCTCAACATACTCAAAGTAGCACAAAAACCGAAACTTGCAAATCGCAGCTTTACGAAGACACACTTATGAGCACTAAACCAGATAAAATGCTTCTCTACGAAAATATTTAAATCACCCGTAAACTTGAGTCTTGGTTAGACGCTTTGTACTGCACCGATAGTGTGTAGATCTGCAACACCAAGAGCATGATAGTCCTGTTAGGGGTAAACTTCAGCGTCTTTCTTGATATGCAGTCCTTTCAAGAACCCCCTCGATACAGAAAAATTTCATTTGCGTGGTTTCCACCCTTATTCCGATCTTTGAATACGTTTCAAGTAACTGAATGGAGGAACATACATTTGCTTAGGTTGCAGTAGTTTCATTAACCAAGTACCGTTGTAAACTTTGATGGTTTATGAACGTAGGCCACTAGTGAATTACCGCAGATCCATAGGGACCGTTGTATAAAGTATAACGGACCACCTAACGAAAATTACATAGAAAGCGGTACGTCTCATTGGCGCGAAGCTAAGTGCTAAATTGTTCCACCAGATTGCAAGTTTTCGTACACGTTTCGCGGGGAGTCATGGACCGAACGAAAGACAGGAGCGACGCTTCACTAGTGAGCCTATTTTGTAGTATCGAAAACCCAACCTAGTGCTATCTTAACGACGCGTTGACTCCAAACTGAGGTGAGCATTAGGTTACCGACACCTAAAGTTTCCGAAAATCAATCAAGTCAACAATTTAATTCGGAACATCAGGTTCCCAACGATCGACCGAGAACTATGAAGTCTGCTAGACATAGTCGCACGTCCAGTCTTTACGCACATATTTGCCACGGTTATCCTATATCTAAATTCCAGTAAGTAACGACTCGGAAAAGATAATTGACCTGTCATGACAGATTACGTAGGCAATATATACGCAAGTGCCTGCCTTCAAAGACAACGACCGACTAAGCTATTGTGCGTAAGATTAGGTTCAGCTAGAGTAGCAACGCAATGTACCATAAACCAGACTGACTCCATTAGTTTCGGTCTGCGCAGGAAAAACCAATACTGATCAAAAAGAAACAGAGTCCGAGCATCTGTTATATTAGATATAAGTGAATAATAAACTTGTGCAAAAGCTGCCGGGTTAGAATAAAAATCGATAAAAATGTTATCAAAAGACATAAATGCCTGGAGTTCATAGAAATGCGTAATTAATCACTGGCCTCTTCGTTTGACTCTTTGTCAACTGAAGGTGCATCACCTTTTTCAGACTCCGAATCGGACCCTTCTTCTGATTCTATAAGTTGCGGTTATTAAACATAATCTATTACTTTCATCCTGATGTTCAGCAACATGTTCTCCGTTACTCCCATTTACATGTTCGCCTAAAAAATGATCATACAAAGACAGTGCTTACTTGTCCCGTTAGTCCCTTTCGTGTCTTGTGAGGCCTCGTCTGAAAATCAAAACCATAATACTTATGCGACCAAGAATTATATATGGGTCAAAAATCAGTGGGAATGATGGGGCAGGGTGTACAGCAGGTAGTAGAAAAGTATTTTGACTTACCGTCTGACCCGTCCTCGTCTGACTCAGCTTCCTTTGATTTACTTTCCGGGCTACTAGCTTTTTCGTCGTTAGCAACATCACCGGCTTCTAGAGTTAGTTTACGTACTCTATAAAATAATGTCCAAACCTTTCCTTATCTTCTTGACTACTGGCTCATCATTACCGTTCTTAGCTTCATGATCTGCAACATCTTTCGAGTCTACAGATTTTCTTTTTAACTCGTCGATTTTTGACTCCACATCAGTCTTTCGAAATAAAGAATAAAAAGGAAAATACTTACAACTTCATCTTTACGTGCAACAACGGACTCCATTTGCGACAGTAGTTGGGCGTGCACAAGCGACTTCAAATAAATTTAATGGCGTACCTCGCCATAGCGTACCTGTACGATACGGTAAAACAAACTTCAGTATACAATTATTCAGACTTCTTCAAGTACTTATATAGAAGCGAAAATCTCTTTATTTCGGACATAATTACCTGAAGTATTTAAAAAGATATAAGAATGTCGAAATCAATGTCGCAATTCTGGTGTGGACTTTAATTAATATATCAATGGTGTATATAGGCTGTTAGTATTCGAAAATCTTGGGCTAACCAGTTGCGGAAATTCTTTGTAATGACTTAGCGGAATTTCACGTAAATGAAAATCTATCATCAACTTATTTTAGAAGCTCTGTATATACAGTAAGATTATATTATGTGAACCTCACTGTTTTTCGTGATGTACGTTCAAGAGGAAAAACGAGTCCTTTAGTTAATTAGTTGCACGATTTTCGCGAAGAGCAAAAAGAAGTCAGTTACTAGTAGAAATGGTAGTCTGTTAAATATTGGATCACATTTTTCGGTACACTATTGACTAAAGTTAGTGGGAGGTTCAGCTGCTGCTTATTTGGTGCCTCGTGCTTGTGGTGCTCACATCTAATACCAAACAACATATGTTCTTCGGTGAGGTCCTTTTACTTTTGTCTTGATCGTTTGAATTTATGGCATGCTGTCTGATACAGTCTGGCGTTTTTCACAAAAGATGGCCTATCCTTAGGGTTTCTTTCCGAATTAGTCTTCATTTGGAAACTGTTATATTCTCTCATAGAGTAGGTTATTTTATTATGGTCTCAGATCAACGCATATAAAGCCATATCAGTAGATAGTCAATTAGCACCTGAAAATTTACACTGATGCTGGTACCCAAGGTTTAGTAGAACTTTTCCAAAGCTTGAAATGTAAATTCTCATGATACCTTTGAATTCCAGATATTCTTAAATTGTAAAAGCGTTGCCTTTGTTTCGCTTATGTATGCATTCACATCTGTGTCAAATAATCTTCGTTTATCCATTACCCTACCTGGTACGTAGAAACTTTCAACTCTTCCAGAGCCTTTCCACAAGTGTTATTTCTTCACTGTTCACCTAGTAATAAGTTTCAACAATCATAAGGTTTATTCAAAAAATTTGGAATGTATTAAAGAATATATGAAATACACTAAACATCAGTTCTTTCCTCTGGAGATTGCAATCACCAAACACATCCTTTGAATGATTTGTAGGGGCTGTAACCATTATTTGATTAGGTTGGTTCAATTATCCCCATTTGGAGCATAGAGATGTCCAACAAAATTTTTCCTAAGATCTACTACTTGATTGTTGCCAAGTGCTCTCCATAATCTCGGTGCTCACTTCGAATTGCAGAAGCCACTTGTTCTTTTTTGTACCTCTTTTTCGTCTTGATGACTTTATTTCATGACTTGCTTTGCGATAGTGTGAATATTTTCACACTGAGTGCCCTATTCGTCTTCAGAAACTTTTCATAGTTTACCCTTCAGTAGGTAACGGGAATGTTTTCTGCCACAGTTGATTATACCCAATGGCTTCTACCCAATCGATCTGAAGCATCCTGAGTAGATACTCCTTCAGAAATACTCCTAAATGTTTGGTAATGGTTGTGGTAGTTCTCAAAGTTTCAGATCCGTACAATAGAAACATGGAGAGAAAGCTGACTACGGTCTTGAGCAACAATATTTTGAGTTCCAGATAATCTCCACTTAAAAGGATACTGCTCTTGATTTGTTGATTCATGCCTGTGTCTATGTATCAGATCCATATTGTTTATAAATTTTCCTACCAAATAGGTAAAAACTTCAATTTCTTCCAGAGCCTCATCATCAAGTATGATTCATTTTGTGTTTATTGTGTCGTACTTCAAAATTTGTACTCTTTCTTTGTGAATGTTGAGGTCTATGCTATTGAAGACACTTCCACAATGATTGTCTTCGCCTGAAATTGTTTCAGTGTATGAGATAACATGACTGAGCCATCCATCTTTCTGAGTCCAACATGTCCACTGTGTTGTGTGACTTTCCTTAGCTGCGGAAGCCTCCATAATGCAGTCGACAACCAGAAGAAAGAGAAAGTGTGAGAATGAGAAGACTTGTCTGGTACCAACCCTAACTCGGAATGTATCTGTGAGCTACCCTTCATACATAAGTTTACGACTCACTCCTTCATAGAAGATTCGTACAATAGTGAAATTCTTCACGTACTTCATAGTCGCAAGGAAGCTTCCATAAGGATTTTCTACTCACTCCATCAAATGTTATCCGAAAATCAAGGAAGCTGATTTGTTGTGATTAGTTGTATTCAACTGATCATTCAATGATGTTTTCACGATTTGACCAGTGGATGTGTCTTGTCTAGATTTTTAATAGATTTCTAGTTTTTGGTGTATGGAATTCCATCTCCTTGATTTCAGAGTTCACTGTGTATTCATGCTTTCGTTAAGTTTACCAACACACCTGAGATCAATAATTAGTTTTAGCGATTTTAAGCGTCAATGAATTATTGCTTGTCAGTATGGTAGGATAGGAGCGTTATGAAAATTTATTAATTTTATTGAGACTATAAAACCATTGGGAACCAGGAAACACTCTACAGCTTTTTCATCCTCGTCCGGGATCCTCCAGTAGTTATTTTAGACTACTTAATAAGTACGGATTTTTTTTTCATCAATTTAAACAGTCTGGGGTATGAATGTAGTGAATATATCATGCATAAGCAAGGTATACTGCTGAATATATAAATATTCCCATCATAAGATGAGAATCCATCTTATCAGTCTTTTATTTTCAATGAAAACTAATCTTCATATTTCCCATTGCTAAAATTTTAGGATAGGACTAAATCGTAACAACAACTAACCTTGACCCTTAAAATTCACCTTATACTGTTAACCTTTATTTTAAATTTGACCCCCAACTCACAACTTTCAAAATCATCTCATAAACCGTAAATTTACATTTGTAGCCTACATCTCGTCCCTTTCATTGTGATTGGTCAACCTGAGGTCTCTTAAATTCACTCTACCTACCTTCGGAATCCTGGTCAACTTAACATTTATTGAAAATGAATTAATTATTGGATTGATGCTACTTTTAAAAATGTACATGACACGCTCTTTACTCTGTTCGCTTGATGGTTTTGTGATTTGTGATGTCACATTTCCGATAGTTATAAAGTTAATTTATGCTTATCCACGAATATGACGAAACTTATTATAATAGGATTAATTCTATCCAAATACTAATGTAACTTTTATCAAGTGGCCATTTATTTTCATAAAAATAAATCCTTTATTCTAGATCAATAAAATGAATGAATGACTCGTGACATATTTCTAACTTCATGATAGCCTACTAGGATTTCACAAAACAAAATACTAAGATGTCAGTCATTATAGTGTGTGAGTACACTATTATTTTCTTAAGTGGTTTATCATGGAGACTTTACATAAATTGAATGTTTAATAGTTGTAACTTAAAAATGGGAATGATGTCGCTAGTTATTGAATTGTTTAAAACATAATTCAAATTATTCGATAATGTTCCAGTTAATCAGTGATTCCATGTTAATCAAGTTCAAAATAGAATTTCCTAAATCCACTATGAGTATGCGATGAAATACGGGCGGCTTATTGAACTAAAGAAAAAAAATACCGACTGGACGTGAGCACTCACCCACAGTAACTGCACAAATTGATGCATTCAAATCCACAAGGAGTGGAACGATGTATGGTGAAGACTTCTTGATCACAACAAATTCACTCCATCAAATGTTATCCGAAAATCAGGGAAGCTGATTTGTTGTGATTTGTTGTATTCAACTGATCATTCAATGATGGTTTATGTTTTCACGATTTGACCAGTGGATGTGTCTTGTCTAGGTTTTTTATAGATTTCTAGTTTTTGGTGTATGGAATTCCATCTCCTTGATTTCAGAGTTCACTGTGTATTCATGCTTTCGTTAAGTTTACCAACACAGTTGAAAACTTTACGCGACATTGATGGTGGTATGGTTCGTTTAAGTAATGGAATCGCATTTATTCGCTTTCTTTTTAATATATCCTCGTTAACAGTTGGTCAGTACTCGTTTTTCGTAAACAACGTGTGGTATGCTGGCAATCACTTGTGGTTCTAATTTCAGTGACTCAGCTGGTAGATTCTGGTTCTTCTAGTTTCCAGCTGTTGATATTTGTGTTGGCCTTGATGATTTCTTAGATTTCTTTTTGGATAACATGTATATGGTGATCCGTGTGTATTTCTTTGATTTTCAGCGGATGTAAAGATGCTGGTCAGTTACACATATTTTTCAAGATCCTATTCATTTGTTTCGCTGAGCGTATTTACCGCAATCATTTTGTCCTGGTCAACTTATTCTGTCGTATTCATAAACGGGACTCTTATTTGACTCAAATCACTCCTTTATACCATTGTTTTTTGGCCGGAGAGGTATTGGTTCTTTTCCATAAGATCTATGGAGTCAAGCAAACAGTAACTGGAGAGACTAATATTGACTGAATGATCATCTTGACGAGACGATGAACTGTGAAGACGAAAACAATGTGGTCACTTTTTATTGCCTTTAGCACTTCATGCTGCATAAAGTATTCCATTCCGCGAACTAAATCTCCCTCTTATATTTCACATTTCGTACCTACGCAAATTCGTTAATGCGATGGTGGTAATAAATGACCAAACACTGATTTGGATGGATGAATCATTCAGGCAGACAGCATGAGTCTTAAGGACGATTCCCAGTATGAAAGCCAGAGCAAATATTCGTTACATACACCGAGTGAACGAACACTGTGAAAGACTGGAAAACTGTTCCGAAATTCGGCAGAAATAAAACAATCCACCTGGAAGTGCGTGGAACCAATGAAATGCTTTGGAAACAGATTGGACAACTAGGGCAAACATCAGTAGAGCTGCTACTGTACTCCGACCATGAAGAGGAAAATGCCTCATGCGCGCGGATTTGCACTGACGCTGTCCAAACAAGTACAAAAGGCACCAACGGGATGGAAATCTCATGGACCCAGGATCATCAAAGCATCCGTCGAAACAA